CACGCAGTTACTGCACGACATGAGAGCGTCTCAGCCCCAGTCCCGGCTCCTGCTCTCCCACCCGGCACAGACAATAGTGTCCTTGTGGCCAAGAGGCCTATTCCTGGGTGTGAATGTTGCAAGAGGAGGCTGAGCAGCTCCATGTTTGCTTGGCCTCTCGCTCCCACCCAGGGTGATGGCCGTGGGGCACCCGGCTGCCCCCAAGGGCAAGACCAGAGCCAGGATGAAGAGACACTGTGGGCACATCCACGTGCGGCAGCAGAAATTCAGGGTCTCGGTAGAAAGATCCATCAACATTTGGTAGAAAAGGCACCGCTGGGCTGGGTGGAGGTCAGGGCTGCGCTGGGTCCTGCTTCCACGCGCTGCAAATCCCCTCTCCTGCTCCATGCTGGGAGGGGGAAGGTTTAAGTTAAGGCTGCTTGAGCCAGGCTCGCATAGCCCCCAGAAAATAACATCCCCCGGCAGCAAACCCCAGGGAGACACTGGCAGCGGTAGCAAACCTCATGTCGAGCGTTTGCCAGGTCACAAAATAAACTGGGACTGGCCCATTTGGCAGAAGGAAGCTCATTTCAGAGCGTGACTCCTAGCCGCTAACGTAGGAGGTGAAGCATCCAGCGAGGCAGCCCCTCGGTAACTCTCATTCCCGCTGGCGTCAAGCTGAGCGTGTAATCGTGCGGATGTCCCCGCTCACGGCGTGCCACGCACGCGTGGTGGGTACCTGGCCCGGAGGCCTGACCGGCGCTGCCAAGTGCTTGTGCATTCGCTGCTGAAACGCCACCGCCACCTCCCCCTGCCCAAAATCTGCGTCACATCATCAAAACTGGCACAGGGGGCTGAAAAATAATCAATTGCAGCAGCAGGGAGGGAGCCGAGCTGCTCTCGGTGTTTGGTTTCACTTGCGCTCGGCCGAAGGCTGATTTTAAACTTCAAGCGCAGCGAGCGTGATGTCAGGTTTGCAGCACAATCCTGCTCCCCGGCGCTGACACTTCCTTGGGAGGAACCAGGCTCCAGGGGGCAGGGAGCACCCCGCTCCGTGGCAGGGATGCCCTGCACAGAGGTTGGGAGGTGCCTGCAGAGGAGCTGGGTGTGTGAACCCACCCTACCCAGTTATTAGTCCAAATATAAGCAGATTCGACATCTTCAGCTGCCAAGGTCCTTTTTAATTTTCTGTTGTATATTTGTTTCAAGCTGACAAGACTCAAGTGTAAGAAATTAAAGGAGCCGAGTTCGTCGTCACTGCTCAACACGGTTATTCTGGGTCACTGAGACCTCGGGTGCCTGTGGGTTGGGGAGCAACCAGAGGGCTGCAACCACCAGCTCTCAGCATAGCCAGCCAGGGCACAGGAGTTGAACGCCAATTTTCCTCAACAGACGGAAAAAAGGTGGTTTTTTGCATCCTGTACATATATAGCTTCTAAAGGCAGCTGCTACTCTACCAGAAACAAGGGACAAACCCACCTCAGAAGTCTGTCTTCGCATTTCAGAACAAGGTAGACGCCAGCAATTGAACAAACTTTGTAATTGTCGGCGATTCCCCTTTCTGATGCAGAGATCTCGCTGCTGGGAGCTGTTGAACGCAACCTTTCTTTCGTCCTTCCTCATCTTGTCCCGTGTCAGCTCGGCGCGGTCACTGCAAGACAGCTCATGCCAATGCGACGAAGAGCAAAACAGTAAGAGCCAAGCAAATCAGTTTCTTAAAACTTATTTTAATATCCATGTCTCATCTGTTGGGTAGAGCCAAAACAGTCTGGCCTGGTTTAAGTTACAAATTCTTCATACACTTTTCGTTAAGTAAATGAACAGTGTGGCAATAGGGTCTTTTATTGGAAGTGAAACCCATATTAACAAGGAAGGTGTCACAGTCAGAATTCTACCAAGGTTCTTCCTCGCTATCAGCCTCGGGAAAAGCCGACGCTGTCCCCAGGCCCCTGGATGGGTGTCGCACAGCAAAAAGACACAAAACTACTCACACCCACAGCGATAGCACACACTGTATGTCCAAGAAACAATGGGACCGGGACAGGAAAAACCCTTTTAGAATTCTCCACGATGGGGGCAGACACCAAATCATCAAGTTTCAGCAAACGGGATGAAGCATCAACCCTGATTTCTCCTTGACAGAGGCTGAATAGACACGTCAAAGCGCTGCTTGCTAAACAGTTAAATTCTGGAACAGAGCAGCAGGGATGGAAAGGGCTAAGAAATTATGGCTGAGGATTTAAAGATGCAGTATTTCTTTTCTCTGTTTAAAACACTACAGTTTAGAGACCACCTGAACGCAGCTGCAAGTGAACACATCCAATTAAAAGCCTAAAAGTCAAAAATAGTAATAATAAAAAAATAAATGTGGCCAAGTTCTCCACTTCCCAGGTCCATTGCTTAACTTCAACGGACTGTTTTCCTGTTCGCCCTATGCTCCTGATCAGGTTTAAGCGCACTGTTTGCAGACGATGGCTTACAACACGGCAGAGCAAGCAGGAGTTCTCTCCAAAAGTGAGGGAGGGAGGGAGAACATCGCTTGCCACGAGAACACCATTGGGTAGCAAGCGCCTCAAAGAGCCCCCGTGCTGCCGGAGCTGCGGGTACGACCGGGAAGGTGCCGCAGGGAAAAGTCCACGTCACAGTGGTCTGAGTATTGGGTTAGGAAGCGTGCGCAGGGCAATTTATTTTTTAAAACACCAGCCTGAACAGCGGTAGTGCACAGCTCGGCTCCCTCTTGAGACAAACTTTGCCCTCGAACACTGCATCTTTAAATATTTCTGGCTATGAACTCCCGCCACATGTTAGGAGCACTCCAACCTGGCTGCCACATGTTCAAGTGCTGTGCTTTTTGTGTGTGTTTTTCGGTTTTCCTTTGATGCCGGGGGGAAAAGGGGGCAGAGTGGGGACAAGAGGCTTGCGTTTCGCAGCAGGCAGGCTCCAGCTGAAGGTGTAAAGACCCCTCCAGGCAGATTACAGAAGGGAGACAAAAATAATAACTACGAGGTTTGCTCCCTTCAAGAACATTCTCTCGCTCCCTCCAATTTGAAATCGGATGCAGCGATGGCAGCAAGTTAGGGAATCAGCAAGTTTTAAAAGGAAAGTGTTAAGGGAGAGAGGAAGCTTTGCTGCCAAGTCACCTTACTGAGAGGAGCAGACAAGTCTCCAGCTTCGGAGTTTTACCACACGAACAGGATATATGTACAGTACTGAGCGAGCACAGATCACACCTGGCAGCATCGGAGCCGTGCTCGGATTCTTTCCCGTTCGCCGCCTGCCTTTTCAACAGTTCACAGATATCACGCTCAGGAGAGCACGTCGCAAACCTTTCAGGGTGTGTTTTCAAAAAGAACAGCACTTCCAATAAATTAAAAAAGGTGCAACCGTTGTGAGAGCTACGAAGCAGCGGCTGAAAACCTCGCGGCAGTCTGAGCCGTGATGCGCCTCTGATCACAGGCCTCTTCTCCTGGGGGCTTCGTTGCCCTCCTGAGAAGGTGAATTGTTCATAAGAGGCCAGCCCAAGGGAGTTTAGAAAGCTGCACCATCCACAGAATGGACACTGCCATCAACCTGCTAATACGGGTTTCACTTTGAGACCAGAAAACTGTTTTCTTCAAAAAAATTGTTATTTTTAAAAAACTGAAATTAATTAGGGGTAAAACACTAACTCTAGTGCCATGAACAGGCAGGATCAACTTTTTTCCCCTCCAAAGGGCAAAGAGTCATATACCATCCCCAGCTGAACCTTGGTGCTTCGAGCTTTTCAGGAGATGTTACCTAAACTTTATTAAAAGAAAAAGAACAATGTTTAAATATCAACACTGGACTAGCCCAGTCTTTTTTCCAAAGTCCACATTCTTCATATGAAGCACACACGGCGTCCTGGATTCCCCAAGGCTGCATGTTCAGAAGTTCACAGTACATGGAACCACGTCTTTTTGTATTTTCTTGAGTTTCCCGTCCTTGCTCGGAGCAGCCACCCTTTTTTGTGGTCGGTTACTGGATAAACCTCAAGCCATCTCCTATCCACATGTCTTGGCCTAGATGCCAAAGGTTTTCTTGATGAGAGTTGATGTTGTCATGCTCTATGGATGGAAAAAAGCAAGAGAAAAAAAGCACCTGGTACAGGTTTCTTGAGACCCTTGCGAATTCCTCTATTCCAAAGCTGTTTCTGAAAGTCTTTTTGCCGGTTTCTCAAGCAGTTTTTGGCCTATTACTCTGTCTCAGTTTGAAGAGCTGTTATTGGATGATCCAGAGGTTGATGCAATTGCGGCTCCAGCTGGGCTGCTTGTGGATACAGATTTGCGGATGTGAGGCAGCAAGTACGGGTCACAGGCCAGCTGCTGGACATCTATCCGATCCTCCTTTCGGTAGGCCAAACAACGTCTGATAAATGCCTGCAGGCACCCCCAAAAAGCAAAACAAGAATTAGCAGACCAACAGAAACGGGAAGCTTTGCGTGACCGGTAACTCTCTGGGAGTGGGGCCAATCTGACAACCCCAGGGCTGAAATTTCTTCCCCGGTGATCACAGACACAGCGCAGCTCCTACGTCAGCAGCTCACCCTGTCTCAGGAGGAGGCACGGGCAGAGGCACACGCTGCACCCTGCTCAGTCCTCAGCCTGACAACTACAACGCAAAGCCACCGACCGCTCGGCAGGAGGCAAAGCGCTGAACATGGAACTCCTGCTGGTTTTAGGGAAACCAAGAGGAAGGTGTTGATCACCCACACGCTCAGCACGACAAAACTTGCAAGCAAATTTACCTTGGCTTCTGGCGTGACTACTGGCTTTGGAGGGAACTGCACCTCGGTAGCTTTCAGAATTGTGTTCTCCTGCAGAATATCTTGTTGTGACTGGTTGTGACCAAAGGGCTACCAAAAAAAATGGAAGAAAATCGGTTAAAGGTTGACGACAGGCCTTAAAACATCCATAATGCTACTGTTTATCATCACTTAACATCAGCATTTTTCTGGGCAAGAAGCCCACGAACGCTGCGAAGGTGCTGCAGAATCCAGCCAGATGAGCAGGACACGCTGCTCCCACGGTTCAGCTGAACAAAAGGGACCAAGCTGGAACATGTCTGGTGTGTCTCCGGCTCAGACAGGAGGGATCTCCACCTACTTGCAGACCTTGGAGGTCAACTTCGGCACGAGTGAGGGGGCCTTCATCTACCTAAGCTGACAGGAGAGTCACCCACATCAAACTTGGCTGGGCTGGTTCCACCATTTATCTGACTGACAACACGAAGCAACACAGCGTATTTGGCAGCCCAGGCTTTCACAACACTTGGTTACCACGGACTGAGTTGATGGAATCCTTTTCCTGCTCTGACCTATTTCTTCTGTTGTAATAAACAAATAACTTTTTCTCAGGACAAATTGCCTTTTCCTGATCTGGACTCTTCCCTTCCAAAAATCACCCTAAAAACTTCCAGAGTGGGTCTCTGCACCTACTTTTTTTTCCTAAAACACTCGCAGCCATCATGCAGTATCAGGCTCGGCAAAGACTTACCGCACTGAAAGCATCATAAAATAATGCCAGGCTGAAACACAACCTAATTAATTCTCTCCACTTCATTAGCCTTGGAACTGATGGCAAGAAGACAAGGCAGAAGAACCTTCTAAGCGTGGGGAGGAGAGGGAAGCAGGAGCCATGGCTGCCTCCTAAAAGGTTTGAGATTCACCACCGAGACAGGAGTAAAACACCTTCGTACCTTTCTGCCGTAGAGACACTGATAGAAGATGACTCCCACTGACCAGACATCAACTTTATTTGAAATCTTTGGAGGTTCTTTCCCAACCACAAAACATTCTGGTGGCAAATACCTGATTAGAAGGAAGTTACAACAGGTTATGAGCAGCATCTCCAAACACTTTCAGTCGTTTTCTGCAGAAAGGAAGGAACGAGCTTCTCTGATCAGATATTGGCTTGGGACGCAAGGGACCCAATTTCATTCCTGTGCCTCTTTGGGCTAAGATCACCAATGCACACCCCTCCTGGGAAGGGTCATCCCAAGGACCCTCCAGACACTCGTGGCCTGAGCTAGTCAGCACACTCAGTTTCTTCTCAGCAGAGCACGTAAAATAACAAGCCCGGTTTCTTTTATCTTCAAAACTGGTATTTGTTGTTAAAAGGCCTTGGCCAACAATTCCACAATAGAAACACACAGCCAAAATACATATTTCTAGAAATACAAGCCCAGATGCCACGTCCTAGTTAGAGACGCTCAGTCTCGCTCAAACTCCAGTTAGTTTCATTTTTAGGAACAGAACAAAAGCGTATGATGCAGAACGCCTGAACAAATGGTCCTGTACGACTGTTGCCCATGGTGACAGTCTGGCACTTGGGTAACATCTCAGTCACACTTGGTGGCACTCACTGCAGGTCCTGCTCTCAGCCACGGTTGACACTGTGACAACACCTGGCACTGAGGATGAAGTATTGCTGAAAACATCTTTCACGTGACACTCACGAGTGAAGCTCTGGCTAGAGACAGAACTGTGAGACTTACACCTTTTGTGATTTCCCCTTCCTCATTCCAGCAGAATACTCTCTCCATCTCCCTGAGGTACCGGAATTTCCAAACTGGCATGGTATTTTCCTCCTTGCTTGAACTGTTAGTGCCATTATAGACTGTGAAATAACAGCCAAGCTCCCCTCCAGAGCTTGCTATCTCAGCAGCATATGCAGGTTTTCACCAGGCCCTTTGGATAAGAGATGATTTTCAAATGTATAAGCACTAACCTACTGAAAAGTAAAAAGCTGCGAGCCTCAAAAGGGGCTGTGTGACAACAAGAGCAGTTTCCAGGGTCTCAAACCTCATGTCTCAATCTGTCACAGTCAACGGCAGCACACACAGAGCTGACGCAGATCCAAGGCTGTTTATAAACTGTTCTGATCTGTAACTTGCAAGTGTCCCAGGTGACACTTACCAGTAAGTACCAGCCCCCTGCGATGTCAGCTCCATGCCATCAACGGAGTTGTAACTGTCATCATCCATGATTTTGGAAAGTCCAAAATCTGTGATTTTTATCTCTCCGCATGCAGTACCATTGACTAGAAGAATGTTACCTAGACAGAGGAAAGAAATAGCCCCTTAAGGATACACATCTAGCAGGGGAAAAAAAACCCACAAAGCAAAATCGAGAATAAAATTGCATTGAACTCTGGCACTCTGCACGAGAGGACAAGGAACCTACACAGTGAGCGGCAGCAGCCCGGGCAAGATGTTTTAACTCTTAATACCTTGAACTCCAGAGAAAACTCAGCTCTCCCCAAGCGTTAGAACTGATCCACCCATCCCTGAATGGTTCAGTGGCTGAGCCCTATCAGCCAACCAAGCTTGATGCATGTGCTGCTTTGACCCCTCCCAGAGGTCCCGTTGGAAGGGCAGGTCAAAAAGGAGGATTAAGTACACAGCCACAGCTATGACTCAGTCTGCCCAGAAGTCCTGACTTGCCCTGGCCTCTCGACAAGCCAGAAACTCTCTCCTTCCTGGCAGTGCTCCCCAGCGGCTTTCTAAGCTCAAAAAAAGGACAATTACTGCTTAGGCAAGGGTCTTTTACAAATCCATCAAGGATCAACAAGTCAGATCATTGCTGTTTTTCTCCAGGCCTACAATAAAGCAGCAGAACGGTGCGTGATGGCAGTGGATGAATCACAGCTTGAGACAACTGTAGGCAGAGCTCTGCAGCACGCTCAGCCAACACGAGAGCAGCCGGCAGCTGGGGGGAGAAACAGGGTCACCAGAACTAGTGCAACAGCACCACCTCCCGTACAGATTCCTCCCACTGATGCAATAAACCACATCACACACGGGTTACACAATGTTCATGAAGTGCCACCAGTAACAGGGAGACAAGCCAGGGATAACTGCCCAAAGAGACGGCTGAATTTTACTGGACTAGGAAAAAGAAACAAAACAAAACAAGCTATGTAGCCACTACACACCACCCCAAAAGACAACGTTTCCATTTTTCATCTCATGACTCTGCCCAATGGTAAAGGGAAATTTGCAACAACATTTGGAGAGAATCCTCGACATGGCAGATATTAGTGAATTCAAAGGCAGACGAGCACTTTGACTGGATGGCCCTCGCTTTGTGAGGTGCCACAAGATATGAAAAACCGAATGCTTCCAAGTTAGCTTCTGCCATCAGATTTTCAGGCAGATGATTACAGAAAGAAGAAGCCAGAAGAATGGGAACATGAATCACACTAGCAATTATTAGAACCCTTATGAAGCAATAACAGAAGCTCTCAACAGCAGAATACAAACAGGACATTAAGAAACCAAACACAGACACTCGGTGGTTCAAGGGCTCCTGCTG